TACTAATAAGATAAGAGGCCTTTAATGTCCATGGTGGTGAAGTTCCTAGAGGGCAAAATGGATGATGTAAACGACTGTGATTTCTCAAATCCACAAGGACCTACTAAAGTGGAAAACTCTCAGACACCAAATGGATGCAGCTGCAGTTATGACTTCTCCACTAATTCCATCTATCTTATCTGGTCCAAGGTGATGATATGGGGGAAGAGAAGACATAAAACACATGCTGCAATGGTAATACTTCATTTCTTTTACTTTCTAGCTTCTGTTTTATGTTTCAAAGCAGACAGTGGAATGCAAATTACTACTAGAATTCTTAGCGTGTGTTATAATATCCTTGAATTCTTTGACTTATTTCTTAAATCTAACTGTCCAATTAACTTATTTTCCTTCTAACAGAATGTATTTGATGGTAATATTTTATATTTCAAAGTTTCTTGCAATGCCAAAATGAATTAGTTTTAACTAAAAATTTGTCTTTCACTTGTTTAATAAAACATTCTCATCACATTTTTTTATCTTACTCTTTTCAGTGTTTACTCGATCAAACTTCATTTCTTCCTTCCAAATGCTAAATAATTGAGAAAGACTTGACCACCCAATTAACAAATCCAGGAGTAGAGACTAACGCTGAAAGAGAAACCAATGGATAAGTTAATTTCTTTCCTTGTGTGTGTGGTTTTTTTTTTTTTGTTTTTTTTTTGGTTTTTGGTCCATTACAAATTTGTCATTTTACATTGAACAGAAAACTGTTGCAGCACTTTTGTTTTAATTTCTGTATGTAATGTAATACTATTAACTACTTCAATTTCAAACTGGTGTTGCACGTCTATGAATATCTAATCCTGCCATTTATAATGCTTGTTGTCTGATTGTTATCTCCTTAGTGTGTTAATTATATTTAGGATTAATTCCACATATCTCAGTGTTGAATATAATTTGTGTTTGAGTTTGATTATCTAATGTATGGTAATCTTTGTTCAAAAAAAAAAAAAAATTGCTTGGTTAATCTGTGCTACTGTTGCATTTTCATCTTGTACCGTAAAGTTTGTTATTGTAGAAGATCTAAGTGTACGCTCTCTATATGGTAGTTCTAATAAATTTAATAGGTAGATGGAAATCATTACACTTCTTTTTCTATGTGAAACTTTATCTTTATCATCCTGTCTACATCTGATAATGAATATCTTTCATTTTGATTTTGTAAAGGACTGAGATAGACAAGATTTTTGAAATATGTATGATGCATTAGTTAATAGAGTTTCTTCACAAATTTACTTCAACAAATGGGATACGGCAGAAGTTGATTGCTGAGGATGCCTCACCGCAGCTAATGGCAATAGCAGCAATACTATGGCTGTTTTGTTTTTAATGGTTATGCCAAAGGCACAAAAGAATATTTTATGCAACTGTCTGACATGTTAAACAGAACAAGGGACTTGAAGATAACAAAACAAACCTTGATGAAGGCATGAAATCTATATGCAAAATAGTCCAGTGGCTGCTGTTATTCCACCTAAGGTGCTCTATTATTCTCTTAAAATAACTTTTTACTTTTGTAGCCTTTTCAAGCCCTCAGATATTATTCTCTATTTTGATTTGGTTGAATACAATCAAATGTGTTTTTTGGCCTCCATGGAAATAAAGTTGTTGCCTAGAGTTTGCTTTTCTTCAAGGCAATAGTTGCTGGAACTTTAGTTAGTTTTTCTTCTGCAAATCTAACAAAATTTTCTTGAATCCAGCCCAGCCATGCCTTCTAAGGCTTGTGTTCAATCAACTGTACCTCCGAACATGGAAATGGGAGGTTGGAACTCAGTAAACATGGAACAAGGAACGTGATGAGCTGCTTGGGTGGATATCCCTTTTCTATTGGATGGGTTCTTCAATTTGCAGCAGCTTGGTTGAGGTTTGTTGATCATTATTAGTTATATAAGGTTCTTTTCTGCAATATTTTATTCTCTCTCTTTTTTAAATATTTTATTCTATACCAAAACTAATCTCAGCCTAATCCTCTTCAAGGAAGAAAGCTTAGAGTTTGTATGTTTTTGCTGTTTTGTCTGAAAGAGAGCCATTATCTACGAATTGGGTGGCTTTCCTTTCGATTATTGCTGCAACTATGGAACGTTACGAGATTGTGAAGGATATTGGCTCTGGGAATTTTGGGGTGGCGAAGCTAGTGAAAGATAAGTGTACAGAAGAGCTCTTTGCTGTTAAGTTCATCGAGAGAGGCCTTAAGGTTCAGTCTAATTCCCTTTTT